ATTGTTGACAAATTGTAATTTCAGAATAGTATTTGCGATGTTCTTCATATCGAACTTGTTCCTCTGGGCGAAAGGTTCATCAGCGGCCGTTCCATTCGGTACACTTGTGGCATTGCTGTCACTGTGGTTATTCATTTCAACTCCTCTCACCTTCGTTGGCGCGTTCCTCGGATTCCGGAAACGTGTATGTCAATTTGTTCACTGTGTTGCTGATGTTCACTCTGCAAATATTAGTTTGTCGTGTTTCATCAGCGATCAGTTTGGATTTTTGATAGACTGTTAAATGTATTTGATGGAATGGTTCAAACTGGCAACAATCCTACCTGTTTTGATATGAGTAATAGTGATGATCATAATGGCAGTAATGCTGGGGAAGACGTGGAAACTTTGGTAATGGTGTGAGTTTGATGAAAATGATAGTAATAAAGTGGAGTTGTAGCAATGAAACGATAAGGACAATAATGCATAGTATTCTCATTATTCTTAGTGGTTGTTGGAATTGTAGTGACAGTTGATAGTGTAATATTGGCATAACAACAGCATCAGTGGTAGCAATAATGATGATGGTAAAATGGGGGCTGGTGAATTTTTGGTGATGATTAAATAAACTTTAATGTATTGTTGTTAGTAGTATGGCATTAATATTGTTTCAGGCAATCCAACATCCAGTTCGAACGAATCAAATCCCACGTCAGGTGCCTGAACAAACGATGTACACGAAACCGTTACCTGGAATGCTGATGGGAGGAATTCTTCCGTTCGGTTGCATCTTCATACAACTCTTCTTCATTTTGAATAGCATTTGGTTAGTTGATTGGTGTGTAGATTCTGAGAAAGGACATTTGAGGAATTTGGTTACGCGATCCATATTTCAACGGATCGTGTAACCGAATTCACGGATCTCTAGATCTCTCGGACATTTTCTTGATATTTTAGGTCTTGTTTGAATGTTAGATCTCTCTCGGACATTTGAATGACATATAACAACAGTGGATATTTTCTTGCAGGGCTCACCAAATGTACTATATGTTCGGATTCTTGTTCCTCGTCTTCATCATTCTGATGATCACATGCAGTGAAGCGACCATTCTTCTCTGCTACTTCCATCTTTGTGCTGAAGTAAGCATTATAAAAAATAATTTTTTAAACTTTCTTATATTAATGAATAGTTTAATGAAATAATTCCGTTGAACTTATCATTCTTCTCTGCTGTTCTAATAATCTTCGTATTTGAAACGCTGTTAAATGGCCACATCTCATGGTTTCAAGAAATATTCTTCAAACAGTTGTTCAACAAAGTGATAAAATTCATCATTTCAGCTTATGATCAGCTCTCAGTCCGGTAGTTTTGACTTGATACGTGCATTTTTGCATGTGTCAGTTCAATTTTGAAGCTCTCGGCAGATTCAGTTCCGCATTCGGTTATGTTGATCTTTGCAGGACTATCATTGGTGGTGGCGTTCATTTTTCACGTCAGGTTTCACGGCCGTATATTTGTTCGCATATTGTGTGCACTACTTCACAGCAAAACTCACGATTACGGGCACTATTTCTACGATTCTCTACTTTTCATATACGCTGATCTTCGTTTTCTTGTTCTTCCTCGCCACTGGTATGGCAGTTTGTTTTATTCGAGTGATTCGTGTTTATGTCATTGAATCACACGAACATTCTTGAAATGAATGAACAGCAAATGTCAACATCGCAGAGATACAGCAGCTCTATCCTTCCGCTTAGGCTTGTGAAAATTGAGTCTGTATTTTGTTAACAGTGTATAGTTGTTTGGATATGATACTGAATGCAGCATTGGGAATATTCTTTTATCATTTTTTCCAATAGGTCAGCTTCCCATGTAATATCTTGCCGACAGCTGTAGTATCAGCGGGGTTAGAGTTAAAGACGAAGCGTAAAATCGAGCATAACTTAGATTTGCTTTTCTCAAACATGCTGTAGACGGAAACCGTATTGAAGAGGTTTTTCGCACGCTTTCAAACTTCCAAGTGGAAAAACTTTGCAATTTATCTGCAAAGTGATTGGTGAATGGCTGATGTGCCGAAATGAAATAAAAGCTCATCATGTGCTTTGTATTTTTAATATCGTTCACAAAAATTTCAG